AACAACGTGAAAACTACTGTAAAACACAGGCCCCAGGGCAGTCAGCTCTCTATATATATGTATGTATATATGTGTGTGTGTGTGCGCTTGTGTACATATGTATGCACATATGTATGTATGTATGTATGTATGTATGTATGTATGTAGGTATGTATGTATGTATGTGTGGATGTATGCAGGCATGCTTGCATTGTATATACTTACTATTCCTATGTATGTATAAAAATACATATACACACACACACGCGCGCAAGCTATACATGTATACATACATATGTATGTATGTATGTATGTGTGGATGTATGCAGGCATGCTTGCATGTATGCATGCATGCATGAATGCATTGTATATACTTACTATTCCTATGTATGTATGTATGTATGTATGTATGTATAAATAAATAAATAAATAAACATATATATATATATACACACTCGCGCAAGCTATACATGTATACATATATATGTATGTATGTATGTATGTATGTATGTATGTATGTATGTATATATATATATATGTGTGTGTGTGTATGTGTGTCTGTGTGTATAAATAAATAAACAAATAAATAAAAATATATATATATACATATATAGATGGATATATATATATACACACACTTTGCTTTGCTAGGGGTAAGAAACACCACTTTCTACTCTCGCTCTAACTCTCGCTCTCTCTCTCTCTCTCTCTCTATCTCTATACATACATATATGTATATGTAGAGCCTCACAACCGTCGGCCAAAGACTTCATTCGCTTGTAAGTTTACAAGCATTTTCCTTGGCCACGATTCCACTGTTTCAGGCTGCCACCCAATCATGCTCTCTTCAGGTCGGCATCGAGGCTTATCTCCAAGATTGGGAAGAGCCACAAAAGACACAACAAAGGTGCCCAGAAGCCTTTAGCCTCCAAGTCGGATAGTGCTGGAGCTTGTGGCCTAAGCCCGCATAAGCCGTCAACACCACAAGCGGCAACTCACATACGCCCTTGTGTTCAACCAAAGGCCCGAACGCCAGGCAAAACAACAACTCCTGCCACCCGGCATCGCCAAATCCTAGAACCGAAAACCGCCTAAGCCTTCACCACAACCCTGAGGTAGCAAACACGCAACACGAGCAACCATAATGCAGATTATTCTCGAAACCATCGTTTCAGCACTGACAAGATGAACAGCAATCTCAAAACAATGAAGCTCATGTTGCACGTTCCGTTTCTGAGTTTATGTTGAAGTACAAAATGCAGGGCCCAGGAGGAGATGAGCCGAGACCGCGCGGCCTTGGCACCATACCCTTGGCTGTAATCTAAAGCGCATACCAGCAAGCCTCTAACCCAAGGCCACTCCACGTTTAAACCCCGAAGCCTTAGAGGCCTTAGAACCCCCGACTGGGCCCGGACAGCACCCCCAAAGCCCCACGCCCCAAAAAATATGCCAAAACCTAAATCAAGCCCCTCAAACCTTTGAAGCACAGCAGGTCCTCAAGGATGCGGTTTCGGTTGCTTAGGGCAAAGACTTGCCTGGCATTCTGGGAAAAGGCATGGAGCGGAGGGTTGAAAGCTCAACGTCCCTTCAACAAGCCAACCATCATAGAGATGATATAGGCCCATATAGGCGGATAAAGCTCTTAGGTTCGGATGTTATTCTCCTACCTGCCTAGCAAGGCACGGCATTAGGACTTCAGAGGGCCTAGAGTCCTAGAGTTGGTTCTGCCATCATCCCATCGTCTACCCTCTCCCGAGTCCCAAACTCGTGCACTGAGAAGCTTGGCTACATCTGACTGTTCTTGATCTTCCTGCTGTGTTGCATGCACTAGGACCTCAACTGTGACCATCACACGCTACATTCGCTCGCCAAGGATACTCACATCTGGATGCCTCAGAAACCTGCCAACTAGAGTGAACGATAAAATTTTGCAAATGCCTGACCACGACGAGAACAGCTCGAGTACAAGTAGAAAGGCAGAGGCTGGTAGCGGCAAGGAGGCTTAGCTTTCAACCGGCTCTTCTAATCCAATCAGTGGGTCCCAGAAACAACCTGTAGAACCCCTTCAAGCATTTTAAACATGTCCCGTGGTACTCTGCTAGCTCGTCCTTCTCCGCCCGCAGCTTCTCCACACTGGGCGTTTTTTCCAGGGCTTTCTTGCTTTGGGATTCAGAAGCATTACTTCTTGACCGTCTTGCCTCGTGCTGTTTGTTCAACTGACACTTACTTCTGCAGAAAGAGGGTGGTTCTGCAGGTATTTCACCGAATCCCGGTGAAGGCCACGAGACGTGACAAGAACGTCACATGGAGCTGCTGTGGGAGATGCTGTCGTCTCTTGCAAGGCGGGGCTTTTCTCTAAATCAAGGCCACAGCACTTTGGATAACTGGCACGACAATTCCATGAACCTGCTCTCTACAAAAGTCTCTTCGGCATCTTCAAACAGACAACCGTTTGCAATTACATTTGCAATTTTGTTTGTTGGATCGTATTCAGTTGTGTGTTCGATTTTTGCGTGTGCGTGTGTGGGCGTGTACATGCAGGACCTCATACAGGGCATCGGTGTGTGGGTGCACGCATGCCTAGGCTCATGTTTTGGATACAGACATACGTACATACAGGCATGCATACGTACACAAATGCATACCCACCTACCTACCTACCTACCTACCTACCTACCTACCTACCTACCTACCTACACACATAGACACAGACGCTATACATACAGCTTTGACATGTATGCGTGCCTAACCATTAACAGGCTTGTTGCCTGTTTGTGTTGCGCTTACAATTCAGGGGATGCATATATGGTGCCGCGTCACCGCGTCAGTGCCCCCCCCTTTCATGGTATGCCCCCACCCCTCCCGCGCAGGGCCAAGCCAGGCTTCTCATCCGAGCAAAAGTTACAGGCAGGGATGGTGCTCGTCTGCGTCATCCTCCTCGTAACTGTCGACGTTCTTTTGGGAACTGTCGTGCAATCTTCGCAACTTTGTGGCCGGTCGCCCACCCCCCTCCCCAGATGAGAATGATGGCGATGATGCTGTCGACATCTGTGGACAATGACGCTTGTGTGCCTCTTGCATGCTGGTATTCCGAGTGTGACTGTTGGTAGCACAGCTGCTCTTATGCTGATCCGGCCTTTGTTCCGCATGTTCTTTGCTTTTGCATATCTGAAAAGCTTGTCTGGCTTGATGGTCTTTCGTCGTAGCTTGTATCGACCGTCGCATTCTATCATAAGTTTCGCTTGAGTTCGTTAAAAGTAAGCCTGAGAGGAGAGTGTCGATGGCAATCATGCTCACCATCTTCGTATCATCGTCATAACCATCATCACGATCATTGGCTATGGATTTCGGGGCAAGTCGGAGTTCAGTGGAACTGTATCATATCCTAAAGCCCAAACCCCAAGTAACCGGACGCCCAACCTGCCACAGTCATGGAATGCGGCACAGCCAACCGAGGCCCACCCACAGGGGACCGCACGGGGTGACAGCATGGGGGAGGGGAGAGGGGGAGGGGGGAGGGGGGGCACTAGCAGCGCAGCACCATAAATGCATGCCCTTGTGCATGCATGTAGCCCCATAAACCGGATTACAGACGCAAACTGCTTAGGTACAAAGATACGTACATACGTGCGTGCGTAAATTCACCAGGTCTTCGGGCAGAGCTTCAGGTCTCAATTTGTCGAGTGGAAACCTGCAGAGCGCTCTTTCGTCTCTCCTCGCACACTCCTTTCCCACCCTCAGACCCACAAGTAGAACGAAATGCTGGCGGCTAGACGAAATATGGGCCCCCTCACCCTCCCCTCACCTAACCCAGTTGACCAAGACGAACAGTAGGAAGCTTGTTTGGATTCCGAGCAGCACGTCCACTCCAGCTTCTGAATGGCTCTGCGTCACTGCCTTTCGGATGTCGGGTTTGCTATAGGTATTGGAGCCGCGGGATGCGGCCCTTTCTCATCACCTCTCGACAACATGACTGCCAGCCGGAACGGCATAAGAAGTCGCGCTGCAAAGACTTCCTATGAAGTGCACCCCTCAAGAGGGATGCCTGAAACTTGAAGCTCCCATGAGCGAGCGAAGGTGCATGTGCTTGCGGCGCCTGCAGCAGCAACTCGCCACGGCTCTCTCGACGAACCTGCCCACTTTGGACCCAGAACACGGCATGATCTACAAAGCCACTCCAAGGACGTGGAGGAAAGTGCTGGTCTTCAGGATTCAGGCTCAAACTAGCACAGACTCACATTCGAACTGCTGAGCACAGGCTGTCGCCCGATCATCGGACCGCCTCTTGCACTTGCGTAGCAGCAGCGCGATGGACCTCTGAGAAATCATGCCTGAATCGCAATCATTGGACCCTGAGAGGTCGAAAAGAAAAAGCCTCAGCTCGGACTACCAGAAACCCTGACCCTCGGCCCCAAAGAGCTCCAGATCTTCACGAACACGGGTGCTCACGGGGAAGGGTTCTCATACGCCCGGACTCACCCGACTGTCTTTAAAACGTCGCCTGGTAGCTCTGGTCGCCTCTTCCTTTGTCTGCTTCCTGGCACATCTGCCAGAGCCTGGCCGTCGGAGGCGCTGGCTTCCAAAGGGCTACGGAGCGCAGGTACCTGTAGAGTTTCCATAGGGTGGCTTGACGCATCTGCCCAGGGAGGTTCCTGAGGTTACCGCAGCCAGCAGCAAGATCAACGACATCAACATACACGCCAAGTCCACCCCCTACCGACACAATTCTGCCTCTCCACATGCTCCTGCAGCTTCTCCTTCTCAGCCTCAAGCCGCTCGCACCTGGGCTTCTGCTGTGGAGAACTGCGGACGTTCTTAGACGGTTTCGGGGTTCAAGCAGAGCCGGGAATAGCTTACCTGGCATGCTTCCAGTCTGCAGAACGAGCTCAAGAATGAGAAGGGAGCTGTTCTGCCGTTTGGTCTTACAAAGGCGCCTTGAACTTTTCTGCGAGATCGAATTGCGAGCCGAACTATTGCAGAACACAGGGCCTCTTGGATCCTCAACCTGTCTGTCCAACGGTTTAGGGCTTAGGGGTTTAGGATTTAGGGTGAAACACCATCAGACTAAACTCAGCGAAACGTGGAGCTGGTCGGCGATTCTAGCGGCGGACCAGCCTCGAGATGGTATATGAGTTAAGAGACGGGCTTTTGCTGCAGATCTTCCTGCCCGTCGCCTGCTGCTCAGGATTTCGGATTCAGAACTGTATGGCTTGCACCTTCAGACTTTGAAAGAGCGTATGTTATGTTTGTTCTTCTGTTGCAGTGGACTTTCCGGGCTGACAGACCTTTAGATTTTGCATGGTGCTCCATAGTGCAGGCAACATCAGGGAAAAGCTGGGATAAAAACGGAAGAAGCCTCAGGAGAAGGCAGCAAACCAAAATACCTTGAACCCTCTCACTAGACCCTAAAGCCCCGAAGCCCTAGACCGCTGAACTCGGAAGCCCTGAAACCTGACTAATAATGCCAACAATAATAACAACAATAACAAGAATACCAATAATAACAGTTTAAAACTAACTATTATAACAACAACACCGCTTTTCGGAATAATTATAGTAATCATAATCATAATAATGGTGATAATAATCAGAACAATGATAGTAACTTTCGTATAATAGTAGGCCCCATGAGGTCCAGGGACTTCAGAGGGTCGTCTCTGCACTGACACCCGCAAACTGAACTGAACTCTAAGCCCCTGTTTTGCCGCTGGCTTGCGACATCATGCCAGGACAGCTGTCTCTTTCCACACTGCACTTGTGACAGCATGAAGGCAGAGGCTGGTTTAGGGTTCCCTTTTCCCTAAACCCCAAGCCCCTAAACATCTAAACATCGACCTTAGAGCAACCTGCCTGCGAAGCCCACAGACTCCTCCGTCTGTCCAGTGAGCGTTGAGGTGACCGTAGCCAGGGCTTCCTCGATTCCGGCTGCGAAGGTGGCACCTTGAGAGGGTGCTTGGGATTATAGGGTTGTTTTGACACTCACACTCGGACAAGTCTGGCAAGGATTATAGGGTTTACGCTCTCACAACTCGCCCGTGCCAGGATTATAGGGTTTAGGGTTTAAGGTTTAAGGGTTTACAGTGATGGGAGCTTCGCTTTGGGCACTCCGGGCACAGCATCTCCGCGCGCGGTCCAACATTAGGGGCGTTGCCACACTATACAAGCGCTACAATCATCTAGAGCACGGCACATCGTTTGTTGACACCCTGTCCCGTCACATATAGTAAACCCCACCCAAAAAGCTGGAACCAAGAACCAGCACAAATCATTTGCAGTTCAGGGAGAAGGAGTTTTAGGGGGTTTAAGCGGGTGTTGGTTGTTGTGGTGACTAGGCTGTTCTGCTTCGGGCCTAGTCTATTCTAGCAAAGCAGAAACAATCAACAATCACAGTCTGATTCCTGATCCATCAAAGATGCCCACTCCTCCTCCCCTTCTAACCAACAACAAAAAGCCCCTGCTTGTCTGGGCACCGGGTACGGGTATCAAATCCAGGGTCCCCAGATGCCGGATTGTAATGAGCCCCGACAAAAGGCAACAGCACTTGGCTGATCCTGAGAAATTCTCACTTCATACCGTCTGCAATCAGTAGCAAGAGCTTTGGGGTTGTGCTTACGCTCGCACAACTCGGACAAGCCAGGCGATGCCTCATCTACGGCTCTCGGGTCTTCGGGATAAGTCTTGTTCTTGTTTCTATCCTGGTTCTTTGGGACACATCTATGTCGAATTGCAAGAATCCGAGTTGCCATTTTCGGCTGACTGATCGAGCAGCGCAGATAGGTGTAGGCGCTCCTGACATGAGGGGCCAAGACTACCGGCTGACTTGGGGTGAAACACAGCAATACAGGATGATGGTTGATTGTGCGTAGTTTTTTGTCTGTTCGTTGGGATCCTTGAGACACTCTGGCTTTGCCGTGTCCAGACATAAGAACCGGAAACAAAGCGCGAAAACGACCTGACAGGTAGAGAGAGAGCCTCGATTCTCGCACTCGGTGCAGCCAGGGAAGGAGTCAAGGGCCCAGAGTATCAACTGAAAGCACTGAACCACCAAAAAAAATCAAATCCCCAACGCCTACAGCCCTCCTACACCGACCAAGCCCTGCAAGCCAAAACCGCACACTTGCAGCAAACTCCAATCTGATACGTCCTCTAGATGTGTCTATGACATGTGACGAGCGAATAAGAAAAAGTTTAAAAAGCTGTAAATACGAGACCGACAGATGGCTCACCGTCTCTACATGTTTTGGATGTAACTAACTCTCTCTATGTTGTATATGTGTTTATATGTGTTTATATATATATATATGCACAGACACATTATGTATATGTATACAGGCATATCTATATATACATACATACATACATACGTACGTACGTACGTACGTACGTACGTACATACATACACATGTACACTCTATCTATCTTTCTACCTATCTATCTATCTATCTATCTGTCTACCTATCTATCTATCTATCTATCTATCTCTGTATCTCTATCTGTTTCTGTATCTGTATCTCTCTATCTAGATTTATATGCATATGTACATACATACA